AAATTCTTTAAGACAGTCTATTTTAAAGGTAAATGCAATCTTTTATGGCAATTTTATAAAACCTCAAAATGGTGAGACTGAAATTAAACACTTTACAACTAGAAATAGCGTTATAGATCACAATTCAAATTTAAAAGATTGGTACAATGAAAACATTAAAAACAAAATATTAACAAAACTAGAAGGATTTCAAGAACGGGAGTCAGGATGGGCCCTTTACGAAATAATACAACTTAAAATAAATATTAATAATTATGCTCCAATTAACGTAGGTATTTCAACATATGTAGAAATGCCTTCATTTATTAAAAATTCAAAATCAGTTATCAATATTCAAAATAACGATAAATTTTGTTTTCTATGGTCAGTTGTAGCTGCACTACATCCTTCACCGTTCAATAAAAATCCAAATAGAACAACATCATATCCACACTTTAGTAGAATCCTTAAGTATGAAGGAATTAATTTTCCAATTCAATTGAAGGATATAAATAAATTTGAAAAAATTAACAATTTATCCATTAATGTTTTCACACTTGATAAAAGTAGTATTGTACCCATTTGTTTGAGTAAAACCGATTTTACACCTCATATTAACTTATTAATGATTCCGTGTGATAATTTAAATTGCGATATTGATGATAAAAATAATTTTTCAGATTCCTCTACTGAGTTTAATGAAACAAATGTTGAATTAAACAGAACATTTCATTTTGCATTAATTAATGACCTTTCGCGACTGTTACACAAACAAATGAAAAACAATAAAATTAGAAAATGGATATGTAACCGTTGTCTCAACAACTTTACATCAAAGCAGACTTTAGAAACGCATTTAATTGATTGTAAAAATTTAAACAGGACAAAAATCACTTTGCCAAAAGATAACGAAAAGTTTTTAAAATTTAAAAATTTTAAAAATAAGGAATTTGTACCGTTTGTAATTTATGCTGATTTGGAAAGTATACTAGTTAAACACAATGACTTAAAATGTACAAGTAAAATGCAAAAGTATCAGAAACACGAGCCTTTCAGTATTGCATATTATCTAAAGTGTTATTATGATGATTCTCTTTCTAAATTTAAGTTATACACAGGGAAGGATTGTATTACATGGTTCGTTAAGGAACTTGAAACTTTAGCTTTCGAATTTAAAAATATTTTTTTAAACATTATTCCAATTAAAAAATTATCATATGAACAAGAAAATCAACATCTTACTGCTACATATTGTCATATTTGTTGTAAACCATTTAGTAGTGAAAATGTTAAAGTGAAGGATCACTGTCATTTAACAGGAAATTATAGAGGTCCAGCGCATTCAAATTGTAACTTGAATTATAAGAATAGTCATACAATACCTGTAATTTTTCACAATTTATCCGGATATGACAGTCATTTCATAATTAAAGCTTTAAGCGTAGAAATAAAAGGTAATATTTCTTTATTGCCGGTTAATAAAGAGAAGTATATTTCATTCACAAAATATATAGAAAAAACTAATGTAAGTTTTAGATTTTTAGATTCTTTTCGTTTTATGGCTAGCAGCTTAGATAAATTATCATCTTATTTAGAAAAGAAACAAAAAATTATCACAAGGAAGTATTACCAAAATGATGAAGAATTTGAATTAGTTCAGCGTAAGGGAGTTTTTCCGTATGAATATCTAGACTGTTGGGAAAAATTACAAGATATTAAATTACCACCTCGAGAATGTTTTTATAGTTCAATTTATGATTGTAACATTTCTCAAACGGAATACGATCATGCATGTAATGTGTGGAAGACATTCAAAATTAATAATTTGCAAGAGTATGCAGAATTATATCTAAAAACAGATGTGCTATTGCTTGCTGATATATTTGAAAATTTTAGATCAACATGTTGGACAACATATAAATTAGATAGTTTACATTATTATACTGCACCAGGTCTTGCTTTTGATAGTATGTTAAAAATAACAGAAATTGAATTAGAACTATTAACCGATATAGATATGATAATGTTTATAGAACGAGGTATAAGAGGGGGAATATCACAATGTTGTAATCGCTACGGAAAAGCAAACAATAAATATATGGTAGATGAATTTAATCCTAACGAACCTACATCATATTTAATGTATTACGACGTAAACAATTTGTATGGTTATGCAATGAGTTTTCCACTACCTGAAGGAAAATTTGAATGGGTCCATGACATTTACTCAATTAATATTGATGACATTAATGATAATAATGAATACGGATACATATTTGAAGTCGATATACATTATCCAGATGCATTACACGAAACACACAAAGATTTACCGTTACTTCCTTAACATTTAGTCCCAACTACATCTAGCTCAAAGACACCAAAACTGTTAACAACAATTTTTGATATGAAAAAATATATCATTCAGTATAAAAATTTAACACAAGCATTAAGCTTAGGTATTAAACTTGAAAAAATTCATACAGTACTGAAATTTAAACAATCTCCGTGGTTAAAAAAATTTGTTGATTTAAATACGAATTTACGGAAAGCTAGTAAAAATGAATTCGAAAAAAACTTTTACAAACTTATGAATAACTCAGTATTTGGTAAAACAATGGAAAACGTACGAAAATATAGAGACGTTAAATTAGTAACGAAATGGACAGGAAGATATGGTGCTAATTTTTACATTTCTAAACCAAATTTCCATAGTTGTACTATATTCAATGAAAATATGATTATAATAGAGATGGAATGATTTAAATACGAATTTACGGAAAGCTAGTAAAAATGAATTCGAAAAAAACTTTTACAAGCTTATGAATAACTCAGTATTTGGTAAAACAATGGAAAACATACGAAAATATAGAGACGTTAAATTAGTAACGAAATGGATAGGAAGATATGGTGCTAATTTTTACATTTCCAAACCAAATTTCCATAGTTGTACTATATTCAATGAAAATATGATTATAATAGAGATGGAACGATTAAATATTAAATTTAATAAACNAAACGTTATTATAATCAGTCAGTTTTATTTTTTTATCTTTAAATCACATAGCTCTGCAGTCTTTGACATTTTCACTTATTGATAATCAAATCAAAATCAACATAACAACCCCTCATTTAAGGAAATACTTTAATTGCGCCTTAAAAATACTTAAAATACTTCGCTTGGATGGAATTTAACGCGCCGAACATGAATGACCGAGCAGAGCGCGAGAACTCCCGAGCGCAGTTTCGGTTCCGGTTGTAGTTTCGGCAGGTTTGCCGCCGAAACCGAAACTCGTTTTTTGCCGAAACTCGAACGAAACCGAAACCGAACTTTCGGTCGGACACTAAAACTAATAGAAGCTAGGTACATATGTATTTTGTGTGATACAAATACTTCTTGAAATGAAGTTCCAAAAACGGCATGGTATGGAATTCAATATGTCGAACAAGGTCCATTTATGTTAATGCATACCTAGTTGCTGAACTGAATCCAGGGCGTAATTCATCGTAAATGGTAGACACATAGCACCAAATCAACAATGGTCAGTAGTGGACAATATTTTCTCGAAACTGCCAGATACGGTTATATTATCCAGAAAATAATGCAAAAAAGCAACAATGAAATAAGAACAAAAAAATTTGGAATACCTAATTTCACCGATAACACCAGATATTGCACAGTTTGCATCTCTGCAACATCTATTATTAGTTATACACTGTTGGAGTTTTTCAATTATCGTGCCTATTTTGGTTATTTCATTTTATTATGTTGGCACCGCCTTTTATTTCACCATAGTGATTTCTAAACAAATCGTTTTTTGTTTAGTTCTTTTGTAACGTTCGTCCAGATCGGTTCATAATTAATAAAGTTTCTTTTCAAATTAATTCTGTGTTTCCACTGTGTCTTTTAACCTCGCCAATAGGTTATGGGTCCAGACAGTACGAAACACAGATAATCGTGTAACGAAAATTGTATCAACGCGAAGTGAAAAAGTCGAAAAACGTAACGTGAAGAGTCGTAGCCAGCCAAACAAAATGGCGCACGCGACAATGACCACGCGACTTGAGACATTATTGCAAGACAATTACGACACGTGGCGCATCCAAGCCGAAGCTATCCTCATACGAAACGATACGTAGGGATACGTCTCCGGCGAAATCGTGCAACCAGTCGTGGAAGGTGCAGGCAACGCACTTGCAGCCGCGCAAGCTGGAGCCAAGGCATGGCTAACGAACGATTGCAAGGCGAAAGCGGACTTGATCCTAGCGATCAACCCGTCAGAGCTCGCCCAAATTCGAGGTTGCAACACCTTAAGAGAAATCTGGCTAAAGCTGGAATCGGTGTACGCATCGAAGGGACCGGCCAGGAAGGCCACCCTGCTCAAACGCCTCGCCCATGCCAAAATGCAGGAAGGCGAAGACGTGATCAAGCACCTCGCCGAATTCTTCGACGCCGCGGACAAGCTGAAAGCAATGAACATCGACATTCCCGACGAACTGCTCGCTATCATGCTACTTTACAGCCTGCCCGCCAGCTACGACAATTTCCGGTGCGCCATCGAGTCCCGGGAAAATCTACCGGAAGCCGAATCCCTGAAAGTGAAGATCATCGAAGAACACAATGCGCGAATCCAGACCGGAAAAGAAGACGCCGGCGCCGGCATGTTTGCGAGAGGTCGGCCATCTTCAAACAAACCAAAGAAGTTCCCGCCAAAGTCCAGAGCTGGCGCTAGTGGTTCGAAAAACAATGGCAGCGCAAGTGACAACTCCGGACAAAACAAAGACAAGCGAAATGAAGCGCGACGTAAATACAAGTGCGGGTATTGTCACAAAAGCGGACATAAAAAAAGCGAGTGTTGGGAAAAGCAAAAAGCGAACGCAGACTGGGACAAATCGGAAATCAGTGGCTGGTGTTGTTCTGTCGATAACACGCGCGAATTGACCAACGCGGACAATCTTTAGTGTTTGGATTCGGGATGCACTTCACATTTGTGTGGCGACAAAGACGCATTCGTGAGCGCGAGTGACAAGTGCGGTAAACTAAAACTCGCTAACAACACGGAAACGCGAGTGGAGGGAAGGGTCGTCGCGATCGCGGACAGCCCGGACAATGTTGTTACGCTGGAAAACACGCTGTACGTCCTCGACCTCAGATCGAATCTTCTTTCGATCGCAAAAATTGTTGACCGCGACTGCGAGGTCACTTTTAGCAAATCGAACGCGGTTGTGACGGACGAGAACGGTGACGTAAAAATGGTCGCGAAACGCATCGAAGACTTGTTCTTCGTCGCCGCGGAAGTGAGGCCGACGAAGTCCGAGATTCAGGAACTGCACACTCGTCTGGGACACCTGAATGCTCGAGACATGTCGAAGCTACTCCTGAAGGGAAACGCGACCGGCTTGAAGCTAGGAGCCGCAATCGACAGCATCACCTGCGAGTCCTGTATCTCCGGGAAGATGTCCAGCAGTCCCTTCGGAACGCGCGAAGACTTCTCCTCCGAGCTTCTCGAGCTGATCCACACCGACGTCGCGGGCCGATGCGTACAGCGTCAATTACGGGCGCGCGCTATTTCGTCACATTTATCGACGACTACAGCCGAGTTTGTTACGTTTACTTTTTGTAAAGTAAGGCCGAAGTCGTCGATAAATTCAAGGAATTCAAAAACCTCGTCGAGAACCAGCTAGGGCGCAAAATAAAGCGGATCCAATCGGTCAACGGCCGAGAGTATGTGAACGGGAGAATGGCAAGTGTGCTGAAGGCCTCAGGCATCCAGCATCGCCTGACAGTCCCGCACACTCCCGAACAGAACGGCGTTGCAGAGCGCAAAAACCGAACGCTGGTAGAAGCCGCTCGCTGCATGCAGCTCGATGCAAATCTACCACCGTCGCTCTGGGCCGAAGCCATATGCGCGGCAAATTATGTGCGGAGCTGCTGCCCGACAAAAGCGCTACTGAACGGGATGACTCCTCACGAGAGGTGGACAGGAAAGAAGCCAAACCTTTCTCACCTGCGCTCGTTCGGCGAGAAGATCTTCCTCTTGGACAAGACGCCGGGAAAGGGGAAGTTCGACCCGAAGGCCATTACAGGAATATTTGTCGGTTACTCGGTAGAATCCAAGGCCTACAGCGTCTGGGTACCAGGCGAGCGCCAGATTCGCATCTCCAGAGACGTCAAATTCCTGAACGAGTTTAGCCCTGCTCAACCCGAGACATCACGCCGACCAGAAGACGCCATCGAAAAGGACGAGCGCACTTATCTCGAAATCGTGTTGGACGCAAGCGTCACACTTCTTCCGATTGCGCCCGAAGTTCCAGAAAACCCCGTTGAAGATCCTGTGGACGAGAACGAGAACGACGAGTTTCAACCTTTTCACGGATTTGAGGTACCAGAGCAACCTGGTGCGGACGGAATCGACGGAGATGAGGCAGTCAGAGCTATAGGGCAAACGAAAAGAGGTCGAGGTAGACCTCAAATCCTGAGGACAGGTAGAAGAGGTCGACCGAAAAAGCAGTACAGCGAGGTCCCATCGGACGAATCGGACGACAACGAGGAGCAGGAGCTATCTGCATCGGTTGCGGATCCCGTTCCTGACGAGAGACCAGACAACGGACGCGAGTGCGACTTAGTTCCAGTGGAAGATGACATTACGGAGAGTCTCGCCGATGACCAGTGCGTCGTAATGAGCGTCGTTGAAGTGCCAATCAGCGATGCATTGGAGAGCGAAGACAAGGAGGAGTGGTTCGACGCCATATACTCCGAAGCCAAATGCTTGGTCGCGAACAACACGTGGGAGTTACTCGCCAGGCCCAAAGATCACAAGGTAATCGGCTGCCGCACCGTCCTTCGGAACAAGTTCAACTCGGACGGAACCTTGGATCGACGCAAGGCCCGTGTTGTCGCTCGCGGTTTCGCTCAACGCTCAGGCATCGACTTCACGGAAACTTTCGCATCCGTGGCACGTCTCGACTCGTTCCGCCTCCTGATGGCACTGGCAGTGAAGTACGGACTCGAAGTTCATCAGCTGAACGTGACAACTGCCTATCTCAACGGGGACATCGATACCTTGGTCTACATGGAGCCGCCAATCCTGTTAGCCGAAACCTTGAAGAAGATGATCCGAGTAGAAGAGGACAAGACCTTGGTCGCCAAAGCCAAAAAGATGTTACGAGATTTCAAATCTGGCGACCAGGTCTGCAAACTCTCCAGGGCTCTATATGGACTGAAACAGGCCGGCCGACAATGGTACGTCAAACTGGGCAACAAGATGAAATCGTACGGCGTGTTTCCAACGACCTCAGACCCCTGCGTCTACGTCCACGCACTTATATACGTCGATGACATCCTCCTTCTTTCCCGGAATCCAAGGCGCGTCGAAGAAATCAAGCAAAAGCTTGCGACCGATTTTCAAATCAAGGACCTGGGGAACATCCGATTTTGCCTCGGAATCGAAGTCGAGCAGACCAAGGACCGAATCACTTTGTGCCAGCGAGGATACATCCGAAAAGTGCTCCAGAAGTTCGGGATGGGTGATTGCAAGGCCGTCAAGTCGCCCTTGGCACCCGGCACTCAATTGGATCTTCCCACCAGCGCTGAAGGCAACGCACAAGTTCCCTACAGGGAACTGATCGGAGCTCTAATGTACATCGCCATTGGCACTCGCCCGGACATATCGTTCGCCGTTTACATGTTGAGTCAATTCAACACCAAGCATGACCAGGCCCATTGGCTAGCCGCCAAGAAAGTCCTGCGAT